ATTTTTTCATCCTTGAAATTTGTATCTTTATTCAAAATTTTATTATCTTTGTTAGTTACATTCATTTGTTGGATGAATTTATCTGGATTGATTCTTCAATCCAGATTGTCGGATTATGTAATGTATACTCTTATTAAAAAAACCATTTTTAAAAATCGAGTAGCACCCAGTACTATTCACAAAGCCAATAATTTCATCGGTGGATAAGGGAATGTTTTTTGTTATAACGCGAAAGGCGAAACCGAAGGCAAATTTCGAGTAACAAGCATTTCCTAAAAAAAAAAAAGGGATTAATACACTGGTATAGCGATAGTGTTTGTGTCACTTTACATCGTTAAGGTTCAGAGTACGAATTTACCGGTCAAACTAAAAACCCAAATCCCAAACTTTAAAACCAAAATCCCCAAATATTCTTGATGGATTGTCCGTATCATTCCTCATATGGTTAAAAAAAAAAAAATACAGACCTACGTAACTCGAGACATTATTACATTTTAATATTACATTTTAATAACTATACAAACAATAAAAAGTTTCATTGATCATTAAATTCTGGTGATGCAGAAACATTAATACATATATTTTGAGTAATGGTCCTGGTCGATCATTATTTTTCGGCTATGGCTAAGCTAGTAAATTTATCGGTTTAGCCGACTTAGTCGATTTATTTTGGGTTGACCTTTTGCTTGCTTGTATTTTATGTTCATTCATTCACTTTCTGCATATGGAAATTATTAGAGCTGGCATGATTGATATACCGATCATGCCAAATCACTAGCCGAATCGACCGGGCAAATTTTTTATCAGGTGTTCTGGGAATTATGAAAACAACTGTAAAAAAAAAAATAAAATAATTAATTTTAAGATCAAAGATAATATTTTTATACTTTATTACATCTTACTTGTTCTACAGAAACCTTATCATGTCAAACACATTCAACATTATTAAACTTTCGTTTGGATACTTGCCTAACATGTTTGGTGTGTTTAGTTGTGTGAAAGTTTATGGAAAAGGCTGTTCTTGTCAACTAATAAATCTTGACAAGAAACATAAAAAAGACTCTAGATATAAAATAAATTTTATAATAAACATATTATATGAATAGATGCTAATGTTAACATATCGGCGGATTTGCAGGATTGGTCCTGAATTGATCCTAAGTTGTATCCTCAAAATTATCCGCAAAATTATCAAAATTTTGTAGCAAATAATTTAAGGGGTAAATAGATATAATAACTGTGTTATTGTATCTATTTACTCCTTAAATTATCTTTATATGTATGCATATTTGTTTGCTACAAAATTTGTGTTCATTTTGCGAACAACTTTAAGGATACAACTTGGGATCAATTCAGGACCAATTCCGCAAATCCGCCGATATGAAAAGTTAGATATTCTGTAATTAAGATTTTGCAAGCTTATTTTATAGCATTCATATTTAGTAAATGTGATCTTCCTAAAAGTGACTAAAGTTTTTCAATACATCCATAACTTTGAAAATGCTTGAGAGCCTAACCTATAGAAGATCTGAAGTATTTGGCAGTTTTTCCAACTGATAAGCCAATTAATTTAAAAAAAAATTTATTAAATTTGATCAAGTTTTGGTCGAGTTATTCTTGTTTAAAGTTTTAAAAAAAAATTTACGTAGAAAAAATATGGTGCATTTCTACTGACTCACCCCGTATATACTGTAACTTAACCGGATCGGCCAAAAAACCATTCGGCAAATTTTTTTGTAAAAAAAAAAATCGAGAGGAATGATTTGCGTGTATAATTTTTTTTTTTTGGACAATGAAATGGTAGCTTGAAAGTCTGTGAGGATGGTCGACCAACTGACGTTACCATTTCATAGCCAAAAAAAAAAAATTGATGTGCGTGATTTTACACTAAACAACTTTTTTTCAGAACATTTTATATTTATAAATATATAATATATATATATACAATATATATTTATATATATTGTATAATAATTAACTAATTAATTACAAAAATAATATTTGTTAAAAAAAATTAAACTTTTAAAAAATATTTTTAATAAAATTTAACTAATTTTAACTAGTGATTAAATCATCACCTTAATTTATAAGCTTTATAAATTAATGTTTAAAAATTGGCTTAGGGTTAGATTAAAATTAAAGTGTATACTACAGTCTAACCTGATTATAGTCACTCTTGATATAGTCACAACCTTGATATAGTCACAACCTTGATATAATCACACTATTTTTTAACTCAAGCTAATATATATAAAAACATACACAATTTGACCTTTATATAGTCACAACCTTTTATAATCACAAGATTCTTGTTTCTCAAGCTGGTGATTATATCGAGGTTAGATGGTATATATATACTATAGATATATACTGTATATAAAGTTGTAAATTAAAAAAGTTCAACGTAGGTTTATACAAGATATTTAAAAATTTTTGTTTTTTTTTTTAATTTTAATTTTTTGCATTCATTTTTTTACACAAGATCTTGTGGTTTGATTGGTTAATCATATATGCAAGTTACATAACAAGTTAGCAACACTCTTTTAATAAATACTTAATCAAAAATTTTTTATTTAAATCTTATAAATTTGTAAAATTCAAATAAAAAATCCTATTAAATTTGATTATATACAGTAGCTATAAGGTATTTTCAATCAAAGTTTAAATTTGATTATATACAGTAGTTATAAGATATTTTTAATCAAAGTTTAAATATTATTACAGCTTTTATTTTTTAATATATATTTAAACCAATTATTATATAATTTTTTACACTTATTTTATAGTATGTTTTTACTATGTTTTTAGATTTTTAATATTTAACATAAAGTTTTTATATTAAGGTTAGTATTTAGAGTTAGGGTTACAGTTTGAGAAGAGTTTTGGGATGTACCCATTTTAATTAGAATACCTCGCACTAATTAATAGCTTTTTTGAGATTAAATTTAGTGCTTCGATCCTAAATCCGACAATCTGGATTGAAGAATCAATCCAGATAAATTCAGATATCAGATAGCTTTATATATAATCTAATGTATTTGGGATGGTCTGTCAAAAATAAGGATTGAAACACTCACACAGTATAGATAGATATATCTACAGTATTCCGAACGATCCGTCCTTATATAAAAAATTGGTCAGTTTTCAAAGAGGTATTGTATTATATTACTAATCCGAACTTTATAATAAAAATCTACAAATGTTCTAGAGTTTTACGTTCAGTTCTCACAGAATTTATTAAGGTTCGGATTAGAGAGAGACGACTGTAGTTTGTAATAATAAAAATATAACTCGGGTTATTTTGGTTAAATTTATACCACTAAAATACTGTACAGTATTTGAGTTTTTATTTTCTAAAATATATAAATTAAAACCTGATAGATTTAGCAATAATAACAATATGGATTAAATTCAAGAAATTGCTTGTCTTTATCCGAGTACTATAATTTTTTTTGCAATTATAAAATCATATAAAATATTCACAAAGCCAACTTCAAGGTTATTATTATATTATGTAACATCTAAATAAAAAAATATATATCATTAAACTGTCTTATATGTCCAATGGCCCAATAAATTAACTCTATTAATTCAACAAAAAAAAAAAAAAGTAGGTATTTTATAATATATAATTTGCGTAATTGTATAAATGAAATATTTATAAAAATGATGAAATGACATAAATGAATAAATAAATAAATACAAAACAGATAAACACACAGTATCTATATAAAGTTTTCCAAAATGAAAAAAAAAACAATCGACAAGCTACTTATTATTATTACTGTATTTTGGTTTATATTAATTGTTCATAACTCCAATATCATTATTAACAGAGATAATTGTATCTTTATTACTTATATTATCACCATTTAAAGATGAACAATCATTATCAATTAGCTCTTCACCACTTTTACCATCTTTAAGTTTATAATTATCGTTTTTTCCATCTTCAGATATTAATCTTGTATATTGATTAAGTGTCTGTGACTTTTTTTTAAAAAATTCACCTGCATCAGTTTCAACCTTTTTAGGTTCCGGGCGCACTGTTTTCTTAAGTTTTGGCCATTCTGATGGGAAAGGGAGTGGTGGTGGACGTGCTGATGGTAACAGAGGCGCTGCTGTTCATAATGATGACGATGACGAAGATGACTTTAAACTTGATGGTCTTGATGAATTTGAAGGAACGTGTGAGGATGTTGAAGATGTAGGAGATAATGTAGGACTCCGAGGTATTGTTAGCAACATTTGTGATGTAGGAAGGATAAGCGACGGAGTTGGTGTTCTTGCTTTAGAATGAATACTTGATGATTGAGAATAAAATGTATGTGCTGATAATGTGGTTGATGTTATTGAAGACGTCGCAAATGCGGGTGACAATAAGGAAGGAGGTGGTAATGTAGATGGAGAAATTGGCGGTGAATCTCGTGGTGTAAGTGAAGATTGATCTTGTGAAGATGTTGGCGATGATGGAGTTCGTACGAATATTTGTTTGTTTTTATTCGATTCCTCGAATATTGTTCTTTTGTCCGAGTTTTGTTGAAATGCTGCTTGCCTTAATTCTTCAAATAATGAAATCTTTGATAATAATGGCGTTGGTGGTCTTGATTCTTGCTGCAATGGGGAATATTGTGGCGTGGTAGGTGTTGATGGTAAAGGTGTTGCCGGTGAAATATAAGTTGATGTGGACATAGGTGGTATTAAGAATGGATTAATCGGTTCAAATTCAAGATCTGATTGAGGGCCGAGATTAGATGATGATTGTTCTGGCATTACATATACTGTTTCTGGTGGAAATGCAGGTGCAGACTCTTCAGTTGAATCAGTAAGAGCTGAGAAATATGGTGTTGTAGGCGTAGGAGGAATCGATCGAGCAACATGCTGAGGTGAAGAATAAGATGTAGTTGGGTCTAATACTAAAGGCACATTTTGTTGCGAAGAATTATTAAGAGTGGAATCTGTTAATGTTAATGATGACGGATTTGGTTTAGGTGTTGAAGAAGAAGACGCTAACGAAGATAATAGTGTTTCAATAGTAGAAGAGGTTGTCTCTGAAACATTATTAGAGTTTGATAATGTATTTGATGAATCATTTGACGAATGATTTGATAAATCATTTGACGAATGATTTGATGAATCATTTGATGGACCATCTGATAATAATTTTTCTGAATCGGTAGCGGTAGAATATTTAGAATGCTTGGTGTTCTCGTTACCATTAACGTCAACAATGGCATCTATCATAGCGTCCATAGCATCAAGTACTGCATCATCTGAATTAATGACATTAACATCATCTGTTACATTGTCTTCGGTAGCTCTATCAAAATTATCTGAAGTAGCATTTTTCACATCAATTTCTGTCATGTCTACATTGGTTTCAATAGTCCCTCCTGTGGTATTTTTCTCTGTGGTATCATCCGCTTCCTCAAAAGGTTCACATTTATTTGAGTTATTGTCAGACTTAGTAGTTTCCTTATTAATCGAAGGAACGTCAGTAGCTTCAAAAATATCATGGTCAGTAGTACAACCATCAACATTAGTAGCTTCTTCACTATTAAAAAGATTATTCTCAGTGTCAATAGTACTTGCATCATTATTCAGTAAGGTATCTAATTCGTTGATTTCTTTTTCTAATGCATGAATTTCTTTGGCTAATTTGTCATCATCAATATCACCAATTGATTCAATTTCATCCTCATGATCAGTTTGAGATTCAATTTCATCATCTTCAGATGGATCTTTGGACATATCTTCATACTCAGATGCATTAACTTCTAGACCTTGTTCATCATTAGTAAATTCAATATTACTATCAGCATCAATTGATTTTATTATAATAGCATCGATATCTTTAGAATTATCGATATCTTCAGAATAATTAACATCATGATTCATTTCTGAATTAATGTCTTTATTATCTTGAATGGATTCGATAAAGGAAGGTGTAATCAATGTGATAGGCTCAGTTGTAATTATGGGTTGTATAGTGGGTGGCGAAATATTGATGCTTATTTTTTCATCCTTGAAATTTGTATCTTTATTCAAAATTTTATTATCTTTGTTAGTTACATTCATTTGTTGGATGAAAGTTGTTGATAATTCAGGCTGACTATTATTTTGTTGACTACGTTTACCTAATCTAAGAGATTTCCAAGTTTTCTTTTTTGATTGTTGTGTCTGTTTATTTTGCTGATTATCAACAATAGATGATGTTATTATTGTTCGATTTTTTGAAGCAGATGGTAACGATGATAAATATGATACTAGAATAGGAGGAATAGGTTTTTGGGCTACTATCTTTTGAGCTTTGGAAGTTATCTTATTATTTTGTTTCTTCTGCTTATTATTAGAATTTTTATTTTTTACATCATTATTAATATCGGACATTGGTATATTAACTCCTAGAAGACGGATATTACTCCATGCGCGATCAGGTGCATGGTACATGGTATCTCGAAGAATTTCAATTTGAGATGCAGTATCAGATCCCTTTGCCTTTATCAAACTTAAACTTTCACTTTCTCTCCTTCCAGTATTGGAACTACGAATTGAAGTAGAACGATTTGAGAGTACAGATTTTCTAGAGAAATTATGTGCTAATGATCTTCCACCAAAATTATAAGATTTCATTGTTCTCTGACGATCCCATTCAATAGCTGTCATTACCCAAGATGCAGAATTCCATTGTTGCCTCAAAATGCTAATTTCATCACGAATGATATCAAGACACTGTTTGATTTTTTTTGTTTCTTCAGGAACTTTGGGAAGTTCATCCGGTTCAAAAAAGAAATCATCAATATTTTGTTCATTTACATCTGAAAAATTTTCCATGGCCTGCAAGTGCCTAAGCAACTCATGAGCAAAGTAAGTACGACTAGCTTGTAATATTTGCATTGATTGACGAGAACAAGCATATAAGGAAGTGTTGAAAGTTGCATGTTGTAATGCATCATATAATGAAAATGGATATAACGTACATAATCGCGATTGATATGGTGTACTAATTTGATGTATTTGACGCATAGGTTTAACGATTAATATTATACGAATAAAAGGTCTAATGGAATTAGTATTACTTAAAGAAGTTGATAATGACATAGCCTCTTCACCAACAGAAGTTGCGGCACCAGTCGAAGTAGATGTTTTAACATTTGATCCCGCTTCTTCATCTTCAGACTCTGGATTACTTTTATCAAATGTTATCATTCCTTTGTCTTTCTCCATGAATTCATTATGACTGTCATTTGCTCTGTCACTATTGTCATCAATACTAGCGCTAATACTATCATCATCATCATCGTCATTATTAATATTGTTATTATTATTATTATTATTATTATTATTATTATCATTATTATTATTCTCATTATTTTCAATTTTCTCGTGAGAATCTTCGTGACCTCGCTGAATTCGAAGTGAACTAAACGATAGATTCGACTTCATCTCTTCTTGGTAAGAAATCATTGATTCAAATGTTTTATGAGATCCACCTGATGTTCCTCGTGATGGATGTGATTTAATAGAATGTTTCCTGTCATGTGATAAAATTTCGGATTGGGATTGCTGTTTACTGCTACGTCTATTAAAAATGATAGGTTTAGTTCCAGGCTTTACATTATTGTCCAAGTACAAATCAGTATGAAGCGAAGTTCCACAATGATCAATAACATTTTCCTCAAGTTCATTTGTCATGGTATACAATTGATTTGTTCGTAAATCCAAGTAAACGTCCACAGTTTGCTCACAATATATATCATTTACTTCCCATGTAAGACCAGTTTCATATTGTAAATTATGATAAGAATTTATAAAAGAAGTTTGAAATTGACCTAAACTAGTTCTGTTATCATCATCACCTTTAGTTGCCATGACTAAATCCATAAAACAATCTTGGCTAAGACAAGTCAAAGATTTAATCCAACTAGTTTCTTCAGCAGTAATCATTGCTTCATCACGAATTTTCCCTAAAGGAATAAATTGTTTTCGCTCTTTTGGTACCAAAATTTTGATACCTTGTAATGTGCTTTCAGTGTATAAAACACCTAAATAAAGGCCAGGAGATAATTTAGTTTGCCTAGAACACCATTTTTCAATATAAGTTGACCAAATTGAATTAAAATCTTTTTGATAAATGCTATTTATTTCATCAAAATTCTTCCATTTTAGAGCGCCAGTTTTGATAAGATCATGTGCGATATCATCTTTGATACAATTTGGAATATATTGAAGAGCGACAATGAATTTTGACTTTGATGAATTCATGGTCACAACATGTTCATATATAGTACCTAATGATTCAAGAGATAACTCGCATTTTAATTTCAAAGCAGCATAACCAAACGAACGTGACCATAAGGTTTCATCATTTATATATTGATTAAGTGGTATGGTACTTGGATTTTCAGAAAAATCAACCGAACTCGAATTTGAATGTAAAGAATGAAATGAATCCGAATCACTTGATGAATCATTATAAGTCTCCTTAGAAGTAGACCAATCTAACGAAGTTCTTATTACATGAGCAAATTCTTCGCTATCATCCTCAAAATTAGAGAAAATTTTGTCATCACGGATAACTTCAATAGTGGGAAACATTTTACTACTACCAGAAGTTATTAATAATTTATTATCACAAGTGAACAATATTGTGGTCAAATAAATAGTTTCTGCTTGAAAGCGTGTTTTCAAAGATGTTTTAACGCTTTTAGTACCGCCAAAGACTCCCTTTCGTTTTGTATGTGCTGCTAAATTCGGACTCAATGTTGTTGGTAAATGGCGCTAAATTTAATATTAATCATTTATCAACAGTTAATTAATAGATTTAACATGAATAATAATAAAAAAAGAGATAACTAGTAAAAGATAAAACCTTTTTGGGATTTTCTTCATTATATACAAGTTCAAGGTATCCAGGTGTCTTTTTTCGAACTACCAAAGTATCCTAAAGTAAAATAATAATAATAATAATAATAAATAATAATAATATAATAGAAAGTAATAGCATAATTAACAAATATATATTATTTGAACGAATAAGAAATGGACCAAAAAAAAGTACAGATATGAGAGATACCTCATCAGGATGAGAGGATAGTAAATTCGTATCACACAGCCATGTCTTGAAAAGTTCGCTATATAAAGCATAATTCCAAGAGTCATATATTCCTAAAGTTTTACATGCCTAAAACAATACGATAATTAATATTAATCACATGATGATACGTCATTGGTGATTTAAAAAAAATATAAATGAAACCCACCCTTTCAAGCACAGCTTGAGCGGAAGTTCCCTGGGAATAGCCAACGTCTACCGGTTTAACACGACCTTCTAGACGAACTTGTATTATACAATAACTATAAACGGGACGAACACATAAGTATATTGAATATATATAAATGCCACTTGAGATGTAAAAAGAAAGCACACCATTCCATTGTAAATTTTTTTTATATTTTTTGAACACCTAGAACAGCCTTCAAAGCAGAAAAGTACGAAAGCTTATGTCGAAAATAAGCCTAAGGAAATAATAAGCATTCCAGCCCGAGATGGGTAAATATTAATAAAAAAGAAAGTTATAGAAGTTAAAAGAGTGTCTTTAGTCAAATGGTACGTATGATATTAAAAGATAGAAAGTAAATTCCAAAAAGGAGCCAAAGTTCAAAAAGCGAGGTAAGGAAAGATATTTACCAACAACGGCGTAATATTTAGTGTAAAAACCGTGTATATATTACAACTTTGACGGATAATTTTTTTCAAAAAAAGTTTAATGTGGTCTGAAACGTAACCAATCCCTTTATTCAAAATTTATTTATCTTAAATCGTTGTAAATGTAAACAAATAAGATTTACTCTTTAATAACTACATTTAAAACCTGTGATGAAAAAAACCATGTCGCAGAAAATACTTTAATTTATTAACCATTGTAAAGTTTATAAAGAAATATGCAAGATATTCAGCTTACATATAGCAGATAGGCCCTGAGTTTCCTGAGTTGCTGCATACGTGTTAAAGCGGCTATCGAATTCAGGATATTCTTTTCTATATTTTGTTATGTCTGTCGCATTGTTAACTGTTAATAGTAATTGTGCTATATGTCACGTGAGATGTGCTATAAAAAACTCATGTATTTGATTGGCTAATTGAAGGTTACGTCACCAAACATATCACACGGTAATAAAAATTTATGTAACAATATGAACGGCATGCAACGAAGTGTAACATGGGTAATTTAACTTTTAACAGTTTAAATAATTTTAATTGTTTCATGTCAGCATGTCAGTTATTAATACTTTGTGAAAGTTTCACAATGTCGGGTTTGACTTGAAATAAAGTGCGATTACATCTTATAAGAATTTTTGCTACCCGAAAAGAAGCGAGGCTTAATTTACGTAAAGTGACGTGAAATTGGTTATTTATACAAAAAAAAGCAACTTTGAATGAATGTCAGTCGGTTTCCAAGTGATGAGTCGTTATTTCCTAATCTTCCTAAGATTAAAATAGGTTAAAATGGTTACAATATATATAATTCTATATATATATTGTATATATATATATAAATGTAATTAAAAATAGATCATTTTTTGTTTAACGTATGTAAACTGGTAAGTGCAAAAACAGATCCACAAAAATACAAAAAAAAAAAGGTAAAAAAATAAATAAATTTATAAAATTTTAGATAAGCTTGATGATGTTTTACGAAAATCATTCGTGTTTTGGAAAGAATGTACAGTGCAACAACTGATAAATATTATAGGATAGAGTACACAAACAATCTTATTATCATTTGGAAACAGTATGCGTACGTACGTACGAAAAGCACTGACAAAAATGGTTTGTAACATATATGTGATGTGCTTCTATCCTTCTTTAAATTACAATTTCTAACACTGCTGCTTCTAAAGTTGTTCAAAATGCTACATGATTTGTACCCTGACATAAAATGATTACGGGACCATAGTAGCATGAACCAACCAATACTCAAAACACTGCAATCTTAATTGGCTTTAATTTAAACATCATTTTATAATGTTTATCTCTTAAAAACGTCATAATTCTCTGGTTGAAGATTACTTTTTGTTTATCCGTCCAAAAACTATCCGGCCAGTTTTTTATACACAATATTAACTACTCAGTTAATTGCAATGATTTGTGCAGCAGCTTTTTAATGATGAAAACACTTTTAGTTCATATTTTTCAAACATAGATATATAGATAGTATCGCGGTGGTTGCTATAAGGTCTAAGCCACTTAGCATTTCACTTGTTCAGCTCACTTGGATCGTGGGGTGTACAATATTTTCTAACAATCATGATTTTTTGCAGATTATCACTCTTGTAATAAATATATATAAATAGAAACTTATGAAATACTAAACAAGTATATTCAATCAAAATATTTTGTTGAATTTCTTTTGGTAATAATCTCTTTAAAGTAATAGAGCCCTTTAATTAGATTTTTGTAATTGGTTTTGCTTTATTTCATATAAAAATAAAAAAAAATAAAAAAAGGGATCTATTACTTTAAAAAAGATTACTAAGCGAAATTCAGTAAATATAATTTTTGATTGGATTTATTTTAGTAACTCATAGAAGTTCTATTCGTTTAAAAAGTTGTTTTTACTGATCTGCAAAAAAAAAAAAAAAATCACTTTATTTAAATATTTACTACTATGATCGTAAATCATGGAATATCCACATCCTATTGGATCGACTTGTCGCATGATCCTAAAACATGAGCACACCTGACATAAGTACGCACGCACTTACAACTTATCTGCAATTCATCATATTTTTAATTCTAAAAATCCATATGGTTGGTCATCGATGTTCGAATTTTATTGGCTACTCATAGTACGTATACGTCCTATCAGCTATAAGCTATAGCTATAGCTATTGCTATTGCTGTATTGTAATCAATCATATGATTAAATTTACCAGAAGTAATATCAGAAAACAAAATTTCTTCAAAGCTTTATTATAATAATTTTACTACTCGCCATTTGTAATACAGATTATATACAAAGACAAAACTTGTGTGTGGATTATTTTCATTTAAAAATTTACAGGCTGACCCGAAATTTTATCCAATTTTTTCATTATTGTCCAGAGTCACCACTCTTGGCGGACATTTCTTAATATTTTCTTGTTCTAATAATAATACCTTCTCAGTTTGAGATAAAGATCGCTTAGCACCAAATACTAATGCTTGCTCTTCCGCAACACGCTCTGCTACCTCCTGTCTCGCACGAATTGCATAAAATTCATTGCATGCTTTAGCATATGCTTCACTTTTTGAAATTCCATTTGACATAAGATAAAGTTGATATTTTATCACGCTAATTACATAACAAAAATTAAAATAAAAATAATAATTATTGTAGAAAAAATAATTAATTAATTAAAAAATTTTATTTTGACTGTATTACCTTTCCCCATTAATTTGGGTAGGGTTTTTTGTATTTAATAAGGTGCTCCAATCTTCTCTAACAGGTATTTCTTTTTCTATTAAATTTTGAGGTCGCAACAATTCATATGGATGATCTCTGTAGAATCGTCGTCGTAAGGAATCTTCTTCATAGACAATCCTTTGTGGTCGTGCAACTTTTGTTCGTAAATGTTTAAAAGCGAAGGATTTTACTCTATTTCGGCCTTCACACCGACTTTGCGGTAAAGTAGGTTCCTGAAATTGGAGTGGAGAACGAAGAACACTCGAACCAGGCGGAATAACTTTCATAACCGGATACCAAATTGGTGGAACTTTGTAAATTCCGCCCGCCAGAAGCCGTGATACATGATTATGAAGTTTCGTGGGTGATCCACGATACATTTGTTAAAAAAATTAAGAAAAATAATTCGATTATCTTAAGAATTTTTTGCAAATCAGATCTAATTGACGAACCTCTCACACTGCGTCTATTCAACATTTACGCTGAGTCAGGTGACTAGCATTTTAACATTTAACGTAATTATGCAATAACGATAATATAAATATATCATGATTATTTTCTTCCTTACGACCAAATAGAGACGGTCGAATTTATTATTCTATTAATTTTATTCAACTTCAAACATGAGTTCTACTCCCGTATCCATGGAAGATCAACAAAAACTTTTAGAGGAAGCATTGAATGTAGTTAAAGTTCAGGCATTTCAAATGAAAAAATGTCTGGTAAGTCAATAATTATATTTCTGTTTACTTAGATTTACAGGTAATTCACGGCTCTTTTACTTATTTTCTGGTTATAGGCCAACAACAAACTTATGGATGGCTTGAAACATTGTTCTACGATGCTAGCAGAATTGCGGACGTCCGTATTGACGCCAAAAAATTATTATGAACTCTGTATCTTTTTTTAAAAAAAAATATAATTATAAAGATTATATAAAGATCTTTATATTAGGTGTTAATTCTCTTTTACTCAATTGAATTCCTGAGCTACCATTATTTGTAAAGATATGGCAATTTTCGATGCTCTCCGACACCTCACAACATACCTTATTGACGCACATGTCTCGGGAAAGCATCATCTTGCAGACCTTTATGAATTAGTGCAGTACGCCGGAAATATAATTCCACGTTTATATCTTATGATTACTGTTGGTAGTGCTTATATGTCACAAAAAGATGCTCCCATCAGAGAGATCATGAAAGATATGATGGAGATGTCTCGGGGTGTACAGCACCCGACACGTGGATTATTTTTGAGACATTATCTGAGCGGAATGACGAGAGATTCATTACCTGTCGGGAGTGATAATGGGTACTAGGTCCTTCTTGTTTTTTTTTTTTTTTTAAAAAAAGAAAAGAAAAAGTATTTCAAAAACGTAAAAAAAATTGATACCATTTTTGGTCTTTTGTAAAGTCCACAAGGCAACCTTCCAGATTCAATTTCATTTATTCTTACTAATTTTATTGAGATGAATAAATTATGGGTCCGCCTTCAACATCAAGGACACTCACGTGATCGTGAAAAAAGGGAGATGGAACGTAAAGAATTGAGAATTTTAGTCGGAACAAATTTGGTTCGCCTGAGCCAATTAGATGGTGTTGATTTAGAGCTGTATCAAAAAGTATTGCTTTTCAAATTATTATTTTGCTCTTTAATAATATTACAAGTATTTATTCCTGTATCTGCAAATATAATCTAATAGAGAATATTACCTGCTATATTGGAGCAAGTGATCAATTGTAAAGACGTTATTGCTCAAGAATATTTGATGGAAGTTATCATTCAAGTAGGTTTTGGTTCTTTTTTCAATTAGGATAATTATCATGAAACTTCCAATTAATCTTTGTTTTCTCTAAGGTATTCCATGATGACTTTCATTTGAGAACACTTGGTCCATACTTGTCTGCTTGTGCTCAATTACATCAAAAAGTTAATATAAAACAGATTGTGATCGCGCTTATTGATCGTCTCGCTGCCTATGCTGCTCGTGAAGCAGATTCTGAACCACCAGAAGTGGTTAAACGTCAGGAAGAAGAAGCAGCTCGTAGGCTAGCTGAAAAATTGAGAAAGCAAAAAATTGGCGGATACAGCGATGAAAAGGACTATGATGATGATTCACTAGAAGAGGATTCTCAGAGAGAATTAAATGATGATGATTTTTCATCAAATAATATAAAATCTAGTGATGAACCCGCCGTAAAGAAATTCCGTGGCATTCCTGAAGATGTAAAACTCTTTGAAGTTTTTTGGGGACAAGTTGTCGATTTGGTCAGGGTATTTATCTTGAAATATATTTATTTATATTTCTATATTTTATCCTTGAAAGATTTTTTGACTCTGCTTTTTATAGGCACGTCACGATTTATCTATTCAAGATATCACCGCTTTGTTGGTATCTTTGGTCAACTTATCATTAAGTTGTTATCCTGACAGGATTGAATATGTTGATCAAGTCATTGATTTTGCAAAACAAAAGGTTGTGGACTTCCATGATAGGTATACCATAGAAAGAATTTTTATTATTATTCATAAATATTATCTTTATACATCTAAGAGTATAACAACATATTTCTTTATATAAAATTAGTCCTGATTTACATAGTCCGGCTGCTACCTCCAATTTGCTTAATCTACTTTTGGCTCCGATCAATAATTATTCTACCGTTCTCACTCTTCTTGCACTTCCTAATTATTCAGCTCTCCTCTCAGTTCAACCGTTTCAGACTCGCCGTTCTGTTGCTCATGCCATTGTTTCCTCCATACTCAAAAATGAAACGATTATCGAGACTCCTCATGAAGTTAATTGTATACTAGATCTTTGCAGCGTCCTAACACGTGATCAAAAAGATGCTACTCTCTCAAGTCCATTCAGTGGGCTTACTAGCGGGAGAAATGCAAGATCTGGTGGTGTTCCACCGATGATGGATCCAGAAGAATTTGCAGAAGAGCAAGGATGGCTTGCAAGGATTATTCATTTATTCAAAAGCGATGATCTGGATAATCAATTTATGGTATATTATTAACGTCATATTAATTTGTTATTTACATAATATGCATTATTTAAATTATATTATTTTTATTGTGTAATCGTTGTAATAGCTTCTCTCTACAGCCCGTAAACAATTTGCCGAGGGTGGTGAGAGAATACGATACACTTTCCCACCTCTTGTTGTGTCAGCCGTTAAATTAGCAAGAAGATACCTACAGTTTCAGCAACGTGTAAATATTTTATATATTGGTTTATGCAATTCAAATCTAGAGTTTATGTAATTAATTTTATTATTCTTTCTGAAAGGACGACGATGGTTGGGAGAAAAAAGCAAATACCCTCTTTCGTTTTATTCACCAGGTCATTACCGCTCTATATAACAAAGTTGAGTGTTCAGAGTTATGTTTGCGATTATTCCTTCTCGCAGGTCAAAGCGCTGATGAATGTGGGTTTGAAGAAATATGTTACGAATTCTTTGTTCAGGTTGGTTTTAATTATACAGCTTTATGGATTTTTTATTATCTCGAATTTATGTCTAAAATAAATATTCAATTATAAAGGCATTTACCATTTACGAAGAATCGATTTCAGAATCGCGCATACAATTTCATGCAATTACACTTATTATTGGCACATTGCAAACCACTAGCGTGTTTGGTGCAGAGAATTACGATACTTTGATCACTAAGTGTGCTCTGCATGGAAGTAAATTACTTAAAAAACCAGATCAATGCCGCGCTGTTTATCTTTCTAGTCACTTATGGTGGGCTACTGAGTCTGAAGGAAGAAATAACAGGCCAATTGAGGTTTTAATTTTAATTTTTGTTCATTTACATTCAAATAAATTGTCATTGTTAATATTTATCGCTTTTGTAGGAACTATATCGTGACGGCAAGAGGGTTCTTGAATGTTTACAAAAAGCTCTTAAAATCGCAGATTCTTGTATGGATTCAGTAACTAATGTAGAACTGTTTGTAGAGATTTTAAATAGATATATATATTATTTTGAAAGAAAGAACGAAGCTGTAAGTCATTCATTCATTCATTCATTCAATTCATTTAATTTATTTAAGGATATTATAATATAAATAATTTTTTTTTTTTTTTTTTGTAGGTTACTGTTAAATATCTCGATGGTTTGATCGATCTTATCAATACTAATATTACTAATATGGATAGTTCGGATCAACATCCTCCAACATCTGCTTCATCGACCCTTATCGAACCTGAAGGCAACGCTTCAGAGTATGTCATAAGACATTTCAAAGGAACTCTTCATCATCTTAACATGCGAAAGGAAGCAGTACTCGCTTCTAAAGTACAAGGTGACATTTTTCAGCAGAGATATGACGAGATAAATACAAATGTCTCTATCTAATTTTAAAAATGAAATATTAATTTGGAGGTTGAGGTTAAATATGTGGTTGTTTTTTTTACAACCTTAATATTATTGTTATTTATGTAATACTTATATTTTGTATTTACATTTGTATTTTTGGGAATTAGATCTGTGCATTTTCTTCATGTATAAAAATGCCAAAACGCAGAAAAATTTGTAATAATAAACTCTGGATTTACATTTATATAAAATTATATTATAAAAAAAAAACGAGTAAAGTTTAACACTAAATTTCAAATAATTTTAGTTAAAATTAAGGTGACCGTTTATTAATAAAATTAATAAAAGATTTAGTACTATATACTAAATTTTTAATTAACATCTGTTATTCTTTAGACTATTTTATAAAGAGTTTTGTAATGATAATCCCGTGATCTTGATATAGTAATCCGGGGATTATTAAAATATCCAGGTTACCCGGATAAATTACAACCTTTGCATGGGACTAATATTCATAATTTTCAAATAAATCTATACTGCCATCTCACATCGAGACCAGATAGTTTATAAAAAGAAAAAATTTATAAGTGAATGTCGTCATTATCGTCAAGGTAGTCCATAGTAGTCTTTCCAATATAATCAGTGTTGGCAATTTTTGGGGCCGGTCAACGGCCAATGGCCAAACTTCGGCCAAAAATTTCTAATTTTGTAATATTAGCCAATCATATTACTAGTTTTTACTATATAAACTTTTGGCCAAATAAAATTTTTTCAAAAATTTGGCCGTTGGCCGGCCAAATATCTATGTAATCTATGTAACAACACCGAATATAATCTATTCACCGCAACTTACGCGTAAAGTAAGGTCGATTTTCAGTTAAACATAGCAGAAAAGAACGTTCAAAGACTCACGATGTGTCTCCAATGTCACCTGGTGGCAGCGTAATTTCAGACTTCAGATACATGACACATTTTCAGGGATGGAAAATTTTGATTTTTATGAAATAAAATAAATTTTTTAAATAAATATCTCAATGCCTAATTTTGAAGCCTCTTATTATTCTGTAATAATTTCGCATTAAACTAGTCAGGTTAATATTATTTAGTTAGCAATTCAGATTTACGAATGAATATTTACATCAGAGCCACCGGATTTAGCATATCCTGTGTTATAAAAACTATTGCTTTTCTTTTTGTAAACACAGCATAATATATGTTACAATAGCAAAAATAGCTATATCACGACAACCACTTAACCAAATCTGACCGAAATTGTTTTATTTTAATTCTACTTGTCAATAGAAAATAATTTTCGGTCAGATTTGGTTAAGTGGTTGTCGTGATATAGCTATTTTTGCTATTGCTAAAATCCGGTGGCTCTGATTTACATCGACTTTTAGAGACGTTTAATCGGATAGGGTCCCAAAAAGGACTCGAGGATTCGGTATTTAAATCACCTCAAAACACAATACATTTTATAGGACTTAGATCCTGAACTGAATTATTATAACAAGACAAAATTAATTTGATTGAGAGTATTGAATCCTTTTAAATCCTAGGATCGGGTAATGCAATTTAGCATCCCTATCGACATGTTTTTAAAGGATGTTCTCCAAATTACCGGATTGGAATGCATCGAAGTTAGGGTAGTAAAATTATCAGCTGGGCATTTTTTACATAATGAAAGATTTATGGTTTCATTAGTAAAATTCTAGAGTTCTCTATCGACCTTGTCTAATATTAATAACCTAATATAAAATTTCTCCTATATACAGTATTCATCAGCCCGTTAAACAACATTAATGTTCAGATAAAATAAATACTGTACACAATCTTAGAGCACTTGTAAAAATGGCTAAGAACTAATTAATAATGGTATTGTTCCTTGTGCTAAGATGATCGGGTGGATATGGATCTAATATTTAGAATTCGCTACGTAAAATAAAGAATATATATAATAGGGAATAAATAGTACTTATACGTATAAATAGTAGAATAGTAAAAACTTGTACGTACGTATTATTATCTATCTGTATTAGGAAACTATTAAGAAACTATTAAGAATTTGTACCTTTATGTTAACTATTTTTACATATCGATACGTATATCATAATTTTGTATATATTTTACCGTATGCATAATTTGGCTGTAATTCTGGACACCCTAATATATACTGGAGTATCATACTCTGAAGCACTTCAGTTTTGAAATAGAGTGTATAAAATATAGAGTATTTAACCCTGTTTGCTAAACTAGAGACAAAACCGGAGTATCAGTTGTAGGAGCCAATCAAAATCTTGTTAATCAGCCAATAAAATCAAA